CCTCCCCTATTTGCGTTTAGAGTTCATTGTACTTGCAGTGAACAATTACGTGTTAGGTTGTCCACTGTGACTTTTCTGCCATTCATCTGACCCTAGTTTACAGCCTCATTCCCCCTGACTCAGCTTAGTAAATCCCTAGAGAGATAGTGCAACTATTGGTGTTCTCTGTTCCACCTTGCAAATTATTAGGCATATGCCTTTATTCTCTTAAAAGCTAATAATGTCTTCTCAACTTCATTGATCTTCAGAAAATACTTGCCCTTCGTGGCACCAAGGGTGTGTGGAGATTCTTCTAAGTCACTTACTGCAAGGATTTTGATTTTCTGGGCTTTTTGGGGAGTTGCAGAACTGTATCATGTGTTACATCCCCCAGGAAGAAAATAGTAATAATGAATATATGGTCATATTTCCATTTTCTCATGGTTGGTGATGTAGTAACTAGTTTCATATATGCTAGACATGTCCATATGATTTGTCTCCTGGACAGTCACCCCAGTGGTGACCTCTTAAGGGTAGGGATTTTTTGTGGTGTTTCATCGTTCTTCATACTTCTTTTTAAGGGTTTTTGCAGTTTCTGGCTCGGGAAGCTGAAAGTATTTGCCCTTGCTGGCTCTTAATAATGCTACCCTTAAGTATGTGCATCTATCGCAGCTTTAAAGAACTACAAGCTGCTGTATCTGGCAAAGACACTTGGTTTCAGTTAGCATTTGCTTAGCATGCAGCAACAGTTTTACTGACCTCAAGAGAATTCCTGCTATGTTGGGGGCTATGTTGGACTTCATGCGTTTATGAAACTTTTGATTTTGGTGTGGGGTTTTTTGCATTTCAAGATAGGTGCTCATACAAAAGCTGCTACTGATTTGATTTCTCTATTTTCTGGTGAAAGTGACATTTCAGAATTTAGTTTGAAATTAACATTTCCAGTGACTTAAGGCAGGTCTGGCCAATGTTCTTAAACCTATCAAGTTGTACTAGAGTCTTCCCATGGCTGAATGCCACCAGACCTGTACTGTGTACTGAGAAGGGGAAGGGGACTGCTAATGGGGCCACAAATTGTGATGAGTCCCTTGGTCCACTGCTTTGTTGTGATGACCTTGCTAACCTGCAGCACCATCCCAGGACATCCTGTAAAGTTGGTGTCAGTAGCCTTATTTCTGAGTAACCTGAATTTCTGAACAGTTTTCATTGCAGTACATAGCCTTGCTGATGATTATGTAACATCCTCCTGTAAGTGTTGCACTTCGAACCACTCATGCTTGCAGACTGGAAGGTTAGCTATTCTTTTCTTGGGGAAATAGGAGCGTTTCTGGAGATTTGATAAGATGCAGTTAGTTACTGCAAAATACAGGCATTGTTATAGCTTGCATTCTGATTACTTGTTTCTGCGTAATGTGAAAGATAAACTCCTTTATAAAATTACTTTTTATTAATAGCACTACAACTTGAGCTGGGTGCCTGCAAAGAGGAACCCTGAACAAAGAAATCCCTGAGCAATTATACCTTTACAATCTAAGTTCCCCACCCCTCATGCGACAGATCAGGACAATGGTAATATTAAGGTCTGGGGTCCGCTTGCTTTTTATTGGCTTGATATGGTGTTTGCTGTTTCATTACTAAGTGGTTGCTAAGTGGTCATCTTCTTATACGATATCGCATCCTCTTAGGTCAGTTTTGGCCAATTTTGTAGTTAGCTATTCAGCATGTTGTAACACAGTTGTTACAGTTCATATACCATGATCTATAGGCTTTGTCTGTCTTCCTCCTAACAGTACTCATCGTTTTCAAAGTTGTTGGTCCAAGACTTTGCTGACAAGATGCTTTACTCCCTAATTTTTTTATATGCATTTGGCTGACTGGTGTCCTGAGCTATGCTGGGACAGTCTTTTTCTAAACAAATCTTCATTATTTGAATTTCTTCTTGAGCTTTTAATTTAGTTGTATGGCCATTATTTTGTAGGCTAAAATTATCTGTTTAGTAATCTGATCTTGTGGAGTTATCTGGTCCAATAGTATGCATATCCACTTCCTTGATTTAGATTGTTGTGGGTTTTTTTCTTCAGGTTTTGAGAACACTTACTCATGCATATTTTTTGGGGGGTTGTAGACACAGCTCTTGCATTATCAAGTGACTCAAAGCATAATGGCTGAAGCGAAAGGAACTTTCAAGTCTTTTTCAATAGTTAATATAATTCTCTGTCCTATCTTGAAAATCTTGAAGCTGTTAGAATCTTAAGAGGCTGGCGTGCTTTTACTGTTGGAAATCACTTTAGTAGAGGAGCTGGAAAAATGGAAACTTGTGTTTGGTATAAAAGCATTAGGAAAAAAATGGACAGCTGAACTGTTGAGAAATCCTGGCTGGATATCTAGAAGTAAAATCTGCTGGGATGTTGAAGCTGCCTTTGACGACAGCAGCCCCTCATCCCTAGGACAGGATTTTCATTGTCGCATTTCATGTAGCTATTTCAGTCATATCCAATAAGCAATGAGGAAATCAAACAAGTGGGTTGTGTTGTGGTTCTTTTATTGCTGTTGTTGCTGACACTAGCCTGAATGTGTTAATCAAAGCCAACTGTAAAATCATGAGGTCTAATAATTGTAGAATCTTCCAATGTGATGGCTATGAGCTGTTAATCCAGTAACCATGTGTAATGTTTCTTTTCTTTTAACTTGTCAGTTTTCAGTTTCTGATTCCAGACTTGATATAATGTATTTCTTTTCCTTCTGCATTCTGACTTGCAAGTGGGTTTGTTTGAAGTCAGAATGCTGTTTAAAACCTTGACTCTGTGCGTTTTAATATAAATATCTTTTCAAATAGATACACGTATTGAATAAGTTTATTGCTTTCTAACCTAACCAAATGGTAAGAATGAATAATATAAATAACTGTATAACTACGTAAATATATGTAAATACTTTATGGTCATACTGTAAAAAGATACTAAGAATGACCTTTCTTTTAGGGAATAACACATACAAGTGCAAACCAAAAGCAAGTAACTTATAATTATTTGTCATTACTGAATCTGGTAATTTTTCCACTATGTGATTTAGATGATTCCCTCCTTTTCAAACACAGAGGCAATAAATAATTTGGATTGCAGTTGTCTGGGAGTCTGATTTCTGGATGCAAGCCCCTTGTGCTTGTCAGTATAGACCAGTATGATGGGGGGGGAGGAGGGTGTTGTCCAAAATAGTTTGAAGTTGTAAGATGTAAGACACAAGCCCGTGCAGGTTGATGACGAGACAATAAAGTGACATAGCTCAGGAGGAGAGCTAGTGGCCTTAACATATGCTGAAACAGTCTGCTTTTACTATTCCTATTTTTGTGTAATCTCGTATGCAGTTAACCAATTTGACTTGAAGACAGCAATGTGATACTGTTCCTAATATGTCCTTAGGAGTAAGCTGTTTTGTCTAGCACTAGTTACCAGGGCTGGCATCACTGCAAGCTGTACTGGCATTACTTTGGAAGAAATGCTTTCCAAAGGAGGTATTTCTGGCAGTGCCATCAGATAACTTTGTATCTTTTAAATGCCTGCCAGTAAGTGAGCTCTGTGTGTTTGACTGTAGGTCATCTGAACAAGTTCTTTCACAACTTGGGCTTCTTGAGTATCATGGCACTTTGATATGGCTTGTACTCTGGAGGCGAGGGGAATCAGGGATGGCACCCTTCACAATCAGGAAGGTCATGGACTGCTCCAGCATAGCCTTCTGAGCTCAAAGTGGAAACTAGGTATATTATAGCAGGGTTTTTTTCCCCATCCTTCTACCTCGTGGGCAAAATGCAGCTATTCTGTAGTTAGCTGCTGTGCAAAATAGATTCACAGTGACTCCAGAGAAATAAATATCACCTCAGCATTTGGTCAGTGTTTCTAGCAGCTCAGTTCCTTAATTATGAATGTCGCTTAGTACAGATAACTCAGCTCTGCTTTTCCTAGCAAGTAGGAAACTGAATTTGCAAGGATCCTGTCCTCTTGAGATTATAATCAGTACTCAAATGTGCATGCACATACCCACGCAGTGTGCTGGCCTGTCCAGTGCTGATGGGGTCAGCAAGTGGGGAAAATGCCTTACTAAGCTGATCTGTTTTCAGCCCCTGACAGTGATACAGTTTTAGTGGGAATGGTAGATGTGACTATTTCCAGCAATGTCTTTAAGATTTCTCAAGTGGGAAATGACTTTGGCTTTGAATCTCACTGTAGGTTTTTTACATATAGAAAATGATTACTCTTACTAGTCAGTTTAAAGTTCTGCTTTCTTTCAGATGGAGTGTTCTTTGTTTTGTGTTTAGAACACATTTCAAATTAATCATGAATTTGGGCATTATATTTTCTTTTGAGTATCAAGGAAAAAAATACTGAGCTGCTCTTTCCATGACCAGGACAGAAGAATCATCTGTTCATCTTGAAAGGGCAGGACTTTGGCTTGGTCTTGAGGTAGGTGGGCTGTTTGAGCTTGTGGGGTTGTTAAAGTCCATTGCTAGACAGCTGTTTGTTTTTCTGAGATTTCCAAAATGAGGATTTGGCAAGAATGAACCCCTGTTACATCTGTTATGGATAACAAGTCTCTTGAGGCAAGATAACCTGCTAATCAATGTTGACATGTATGAGAAAGTCGTCATCATCTGTTGGATTTTTAAAGATGTTTAACTCTTGCTTTATATTTCAGTAATCTTAAAAGTCTATGAACAAGGTGCCCATAGCTTGGTGGGGAAACACTACTTTTACTGTGTTGTCAGGAGTGCACTGGTAATCCACAGCAAGTCAGTGCCTTGATTTGACTTGAGTGGATGGTGTTGAAGAGGTTTGATATAAATTCTTAGTGAAGTAAATTCAGCTTAATGTGTTATGTTTTGATAATTTTTTTCATTATATCCCTCCTGTGCACGCACAGTCTGAAAAAATTTCTGCTATATTTTCTTCTTTGGTAATATTATTCATAAAGCTTTGAAAATATGTTTTTCTGGAAGCCAATAACTTCTCAAAATATTATTGCAGTACCTGCTCCGGTCATCACTGCCACAACTCCTAAAATGGAGGTGGTTTCAGCAGAAGTCAACAGCTTGCTTCCTGAGGAAATAATGGACACCGGTATAACTCTGGTGGAAGATGACAACATTGAGGCAGTTATCGTGTCGTCGCCGATGGGAGATTCTATTCCCATGGAAACAGAACTGGAAGAAATAGTGAATATAAGCTCCACCAGTGACTCCTCAGCTATGACTACAACCACAATCACTACAGAACCGGTTACTGCACCTAGCAATCACTCAGGCGATGTGCCAGTGAACACCACAACCCTAAAAACTGATGTGAATGCAGTAGTAAAGCCTACCTTTCCAAGTGGCCTCCATAAACTTGGTGCTCAGACACCTGTCACTATATCAGCCAATCAAATTATTCTGAACAAGACCACTGATATTAAAATAGGCAATCAGAGTATTAAACCAGACGGGCAAAAGCTAATTGTAACAACTTTGGGCAAGTCTGGCCAACCTATTGTTTTAGCATTACCCCACAGCCAGCTCCCGCAGGCGCAGAAGGCCACGTCCCAAGCCCAAGGTGGAGACTCCAAGGTACAAGGCCAACAGATCAAAGTTGTTATTGGAGGTCGGTCGGAAGTGAAACCTGTTGTTGGTGTCTCAGCTTTGACACAAGGAAGTCAGCTGATAAACACTGCGGCCCAGCCTTCTGTTTTGCAGACTCAGCAGTTAAAAGCAGTACAGGTAAAGTGAGTTATGCTGATGAAACATCTTAAAAACAATTTTGTTGCTGTAGCTGTTGTCCATTTCCTTCACTGACTGACACACTGTTGCTTTCAGCCTTTGCATTTATTCATTGTATTAAAAAATACAATGCTGCTCTTAGCCCATGCTTTCATCTGTGGATGCATTTAACATTTTATGCCCTTTACCTCTAGCTGCTGTCTAGCTAAACTTAAAATTTGCCTCAGGGAAAGTGAGCTATTAAAATTCAGTAAATTGAAGAGATTTTTCCTGTTATTTTCATTTTATAAAAATAAATTCTGCGTGCTTTCAAGAAGACTGAATTGAAACATCCATATGCCTGTTGGTCTTTATTCAAAGTGTATGCTTCTTTACTCCTTTATGAAAGAGTAGCTTCTGCCTATTATGTTTAGTTTGTTTAAATAAACTTTCAGCATTTTAAAAAGAATAGGAAGGTATATGTTGTCTGCCTCAGATCTAGTTAAACTTGTTAATACATACTGATGGACTAGATGCTATCATAAGCTGGACAGTTCAAGGTCTTGTTTCTGATCTCTGGCATGGATCTTGAGATATTTGAAAGACAGAATCTGCTGGGATCTGAAAATGTGTTGAAAAGACTTGGGTTATGACCCAAAGGGTCTGATTTTCATCTGTCATATGGCAGAGCTAAATGTGAGTGACTTTGTTCTAGTTGGCAGTAAGATGAAAATAAGACCTCATCAAAGTGAAGGAAAAGTAGAACTCAATGCAGATTATGAGAGAAAAATATTAAACTCTACATATGCTAATAAACTAACTTGCTGTACATGAGAAATGACAAACTGTTAGGCATGTTATTAGCTGAATGGTAAGCTGCCCCACTGGTATTTCATGACAAGCAGACGTGAGCAACTCTGAAGATGGTTTGTTCTAACGCTGCAGATGATCCCTGCATTGATTTCTGCTTTCTCCTTTTTTGTTGCTACATCATACCTGTGGAAAACACATTTATTAATGGCTGTTTGAAACATCAGTTTTCTTAAGTGACTTTTATTTTTGTACCTTGATCATTAATGATACTGTGGTTGTCATTATAGTTTTCAAAAAAGCCTCTGCCCTTGACTCAGCATGTGAACATTTAAGAGCGGATCAGTTCCTGTTACTTGGCTTCAATTACTCACTGCCAAGTGACAGATACAGGAAACTGAGGAGAATGACTTAGCTGTGATGTGCTTTTGCTTGCGTGCAACGACCTGTGCCATCAGTGACTGAAATAGTGATTTGACGATTGACCTCTGCTTTTGTCATTGGGAATTCTACAGGTTCTTTAATAGAAGCCCTTACAAATGGACTTGCATCCATTTGTAAAACTAGTTAATTGCAGTTCGAGTAAATTTGTTTTGTTGTGGTCTCTTTTTTATTAAACCTTTGCTTCCATTTGCAAAACAGATTGAATTGTTAACACCTGGCATTCCATTTTTCTTATGAGGAGAGGAAGAAGTAGAAATGAAAAGCAAGAAGGCAATGTTCAATTGATTATAAGTACCCAATACGACAGGGAAGATGATTATATTAGCACTTCCCAGACAGTGCTTTTCCCTGTAGAAAGTTACTAAAGTATCAGAGGGATATGAGGCTAGGCGAGAGATTCATGGTCTACCCTATGATGAATGACAGGGAAGGTAACCCATGCCTCAAGTCCCTGGCTTAGAAAAATGAAGTTATGCATTTACCCCATCATCCTGAACAAGCCTTTTAACCTTGCAGTGAGTGGAAAAGGAAGCTGTGAATGCCTCCCTACTTCCCAAGGGTCTTGTGTAACTTACCTGATTCACAAAGCCACAAGAGATATTTCAGGTGCAAGGCAGCACAGCAGTTCGACTTGATGCTGAAAAGTGGATTGATAAAAGATTAGATGACAAAGAGCTCTGTTAAGTTCTCCTTACATCCTCACTGTTGTAGGGGCTTTGCAGGTCATTAGAGAAACTCATTTAGACTTGCTGTAATGTAGTTGTGACATGTGAAATCTCAGCACTTTAGAAAAGGCATAATTGATAGAGTTGAGCAAAATGTTCTTTGGAATCTGGCTCCCTCTCTGATTACAATTTTAGAGGTATAAGGCTGTGAGGTGTAAAATGTGGCAGGACCTTGGGCTTCATCTATATCCAGATGTTTGGTAATGTCCCTTGTCAGCTTGTCCTGATATAGTTGAAACCACTGTCCTGGAAATGTGGACAGAACTACTAGGCAAGTGCATCTGTTTTCAGCCTTGTGGCTTCTGCCTGCGTACAGGCTTAAAAACAATGTTGTGCCTGTTGGTGTCCTACTTTAGTCCAAGTGCATTAAGCAGGAGTTCAGCCTTGCAGACGACTCTCAACCAGATGTCCAGATCCATGGCCATTGCTGTCACTAAGCTAGTCGAACTTGTCTTCATGTAGTAACTGGCTTTGTGTTTCAGCAGTTAAATCTACGTGTCCACAGCATCGTTACTACCACGGTAGGATAACTGCTAATTCATCGTTGTGGCTTCATGTCATCATGGAAAAGCGACCTCATGCACTCCCTAACCTCAGAGCAATCTCCTGTTCCTAGCTCAGTTTCTTCATCTTCTCTCATGTACACTGTTCTCCTGTTATAGAGTCCCTGATTTTTTGTATTATGCCAAATACAAATTGCACAGGGCATGGCTACATGGACAAGCTCCCATGAGGTCATCTAGGGAGTAGATTTATAGTATGTTAGCCCCTTTGTGGTAGCTGACTATGTGGGTATTCAATCCAGCAGGACATGCAAGGTATGCAAGTGCCTTTTTGTGTATGAGTAAGAACAGGGTTTGACAGCTGAGAACAAAGTCTGGCTGTAAACACTTGCTAGTTTATCCTTTTTATTGGAGAGTGCTTAGGAAGACACAAATTGACCCTTTAGTAAAGATGCTTGCAGATGAATCCCTTTACTTCTGTAGGGGGAAGAAAGTTGGTGTGTGCTTCTGAATATGATAATTTTCTTGTGGAAGAGCTTGTTGCCCCAGGAAATATTTTTGCAGTCTAATACAAAGTAACTTGCAGAGAGCGTGCTTAGCTTACATAGGCAGAGGAATAATGTTAAGTTTCTTGTGATTAGTACAGGCAATGGCAGAGGGCTCTAGAGAACTTGCTCTTTCTGAAGCAGCGAAGAGGCAGTTTGCCATCTTGATGATTTCCTCTGCCTTCTCCAGTCTCTACTGAAATGGGTAGCAAGTTTCCCACTGATGCCTAGAAGGCTATTGTAGGTGGCTGGGTTTATCAGCTCCAGGGGCAAAAACCTCAAAGGCTTGCTTGGCAGCAGGTAAGGGCAGGAGTGCACTGCCTGTACTTGGGGACCAAGGGCTGTTCCTTACCTGTACACAACCACGTTTGAGTTTTGCCATGTTTCCTAAGCCCCGAGGGGATTCACTTGTTTGTTAGACCTCCTTCATCGTAGACGAACATTTCATCCAAAAAGCAGGGGAGAATTTATCTGTGGAGGATATTGCAAGCTCAGTCTGAGGGAAGCAGGACTCCTTGTGTTGACCAGCTATCATTTTGGTTTTTTACATTTTTTCTGAAATACTTCATGTTAATGGGTAGCTAGTATTTTACACATTTCATGTAAGTCATTTAAGCACACTGACTGACTTTTACTGGGAAACGACTGCTGTTATCCAGAGCTGGCTGTTCCTGCTGGATGTTGATCGCATTCTGAGCCAGACTTTGCCCTCACTTCAGGGAGCAAAAGCAATAGCAGTTGAGTTACAATAATACCTTATGACAGGGTGAGATTAATTTCAGCTGAATGGAAATCTCAAATCAAGCAGATGACATGTGAGGAATTTATCAGAAGTTAAAATGTGTGCAAATTTACAGAAAATGCCTGCTTGTGTATCGGCTGTGTATGTGCTAAGAGATCTGAATCCTTGAAATGTTAAAATGGCTTTGAGTTAGATTTGTAGACTGGGTTATGAATGAACCTTCCTTCAAGCAACATATATTTCAATGTTTTAGTTAATATATCTCCAGAAAGAGCGAGTTTTTTTCTTCTCAGTTTCATTTTAAGCCTTGACTATTGAATGCCACCTATAGCGCAGCTAACTCAGCCTGGGTGCAGCATATTTGGGCAAATGACCTTCACTTGCCAGTGGTCTGAGGTGGAGATTTCTTGTGAGGAACACTTGTATTGTAACTGTGAAGCAGCACATGGTTTCCTTTAAATGAGGTCTTTTTTGCTGGCACTGTCCGGTGTCAGAGCTGCTCACTGCTGGCTTCTCTTAGCTGGGCACAGCTTAGGCACACAGAGGCAGTGTTTGCTTTGCAAGCTAGGCTGGAGGGCTCCACTGCCATAGCAGGGGTGAGCTCCAGCTTCCCTGGCTGTCACAAGTACACTGCTGGGAGCTGAAAGAGCCCCACATGTGCTCTTTGCAGGGCAGATGGGGGATTCATTATGTACTACTGAATACTTCAAATGTTTTGGTATTACTCTACTGTAGAGGAGGTGTTTTCAGTCAGCAAATTCTATACATAGGGTTTTGTGTAGGAAACCATAACATCCAGCTTACTCAATCGCTTTATTTAAGCACTTGCAACTTTCTCAGGCTGTTAAAAGTAGTTGACATGTCTGTATCTTTGCATCTCTGTGAGATTTCTCCATTTAGCTACATGAGTAACAAAGATGGTTCTGTGCCTTTGAGAGGTGGCTCCCTGCCAGCGTTGTGCCTCTGATACCGCTGGAGTTGGTGGCTGGTGCCTATGAGATGTGGCTGGGCATGTGTGGTGGAGGAGAGGCAGTATGGGCCTGACCTGTGGGGTTGGGAAGTGTAAGAGTTTCAGTGATGCCTTCCAGTGTGCTCGCTTGGACTCGGAGAAGATCCTAGTGATAGTCTGCATCTGCAGGCAGCATCTGCAGTCAACAGGTTAAAATAGTCTGTGATAGAAGTCAGCCTCTTAATTGAACTATTCACCAGCTGGATGCTGGTGTATAGAAACTATTAGAAAAAAATGCATCTGGTAGTTAACTTCTGTTACTGTGGAAAAGGGGAAGTCTTATTTAAGACTTTTAAGGCTATAAAACCCTGCTTATTACGATTTCAAGTTGAGGTGATCTGTCTCATCTAATGGCGCATACGTGTTCCCGGTCCAGCTGTGTTTCAAGAGACTGGATCACAGGAGAAAAAGACGCCCTTGTACCTGGATGTAGCCAACTGATTTGTTCTTGGCTAGTGAATACCCCAAACTTTCAGAGACTGATGATCCACGTACTTTTTGCGAACTGTTGCAGAAGGCTGTTTCCCTATTTGCAGGACAAAAGTGTGCTGCTATGTCAAAATAGGTCAAGAGATGTTTCAGAGCAGTAGTTGTCATATTTAAAAGCACTTTAGGAACAAGTTGTCCTGATTGGCTGAAAAAGAAGTAACTTTTTTTAAAGCTTCAAATATTGAAAGTTATGCATTTGATTTTAACATTTTTATGTAGACCAATGGCATGTAAGAAATAATTTCACCATCTTGAAGATGGGGTATGTTTGCACAGAGAGTTCTTACAAAAAAGCTGTAAGGGATTTGGCTCTCCTGCTTTTGTGGCTGGTTTTCTCAAGTGGCATGGATGATATCCTAGTTCTCTCCATAGTGAGAAATAGAGGTGAAATGCAAGATAAGCAATTCTTCTAATTATGTGTGCAAGTATTGCCCTTTTTATTTTCTCATGTCCTTAACAATAATTTAGATCTAAAATGCTGAAGTTACTTTAGATCTTTTTTCTCCCCCCATCTTTCAGATTGCGAAGAAGACCCGAACCCCAACTTCTGGCCCAGTAATCACCAAGCTGATCTTTGCAAAACCAATCAATAGCAAAGCTGTTACAGGGCAGACCACTCAAGTGTCACCAGTAATTGCAGGTTGTATTACTTTGACTTGTCTTGCTTTACCTTCTTTTAAAGGCTGTTCAAAGAGATGGTGATCGTAGAAATTTTTCTGTCTCAATGATTTTACTGTAGTTTCTGTTGAAGTACATCAAGCAGTTAAAAAATTTAGCAGAGTTTTGTGGGTAGCAGCAGATAAATGTAGTTGTTGGTACCTTTACACTTTGCTCATTTAGAATTATCTTTGTGATTGTAGAGTTTGATAATTTTGCTTTTACTATAAGATGCTTTTACTTTCTAGATGTTGGGGAGGAGAAAAAATCACCTCACAGCCAGAGAAAAGGCTACTCGATAAACAGAAATTATTTGTAGATACATTATATAAATACACAGGTGGAAAAGGAGGCACATGCTCTTTTATTACTTTAATGTGCTTATACCTGGAGTTAAATGTAATATATGCAAATAACAGGAAAAATGTTTGAGTGAAAAAAAGTGAATAAAGCTGTGTTGTTTCTCTTAAGTTGCTCACCTACTTCAAAAATAAGCATTGTGGAAGAGTATAAGAAAGTAATTAAGGCAAATAAGAAATGGTTGGCTCTTTGGAAAACAAATTTATGTTTATGTTTTTCAAATAAAAACAAGATTAAAGTAAAAACCCACAGCGTAATCACTTGTTTATTATGGCAGTGGGACTGATGTATCCCTTGCTAAATGCATTATTGCATGTATGCAAGTAACATCTGAGACATGTAAATTATCTCAAAAGGACAAATGTAGGAAGCCAGAGTCATCTTCAGAGCTTTGAAGGATGTCTTCAACTGCTTCCAGATTGACCAATTCAAGTAGGCCTAAAATCTTTTCCACATATTTAAATGAATTTGTTAAGCCTTTACAGAACTGGGACTTGATCTGGTTTTGAAAAGAACGCAACTGTCTCCTGTATTCAGAACTTTGATAGATACAAGTCAATGGCTCGTAAGTGAAACATAATCTTTTCCTTGAGTTGTCAGGCTGCCTGGACCCTGAAGCCTGACTCATGTTTCAGGTGAAAGAGGGATTCCCCGTCCCACTCCTCAGTTTTTCCCTTTTCTTAAACAATTCCTTACCAAATGTACAGACCTGTGAATAAGAAGATTGCTTTGCTATGGTTATAAATATTTGAGTTAAGCTGGGAAAAAAAAGGCGATCCAAAAACATAAACCCAACCAAAAAACAGTAAAAAACCCAAAACAAGCTACTTGGAGCTGCATTACATTTTCATGTGGCAATACATGAAAATTGGTAAACAGTAAGGAACCACAAAAAAAATAATACTAACAAGAATATGTTTTTAAGTTTGCTACCTGCAGAATGAAAGGAAATGTCCAAATCAAAACATACCTGCATAATACTGACAAGCAGGTGTGTTACAAAATAAACAAACTTTCAGCTTTTACATCAGTATGTTGGAAAATCAAGAGTACCTGTCCCTGAGCCTGTGAGAGAAGCATCACTGGGAGGTGAAGATACTTCTGTAATTGAGAGGGAAATTTTTTTAAACATCTGCCTTTCCTCTCGCCATCCCGAACAGCCAGCACTGTTTGCCAGCTTTGAGAGGCTGTCATCGTTTTGGGGAAGCTGTAACATTTTTATGTTGTGTTTTGATTTTGTATACATGTTTTTATGAATCCCATAAATATTTTTAATTGCCTGGGAAATTCTGCAAACTGAGGTGGAAGTTACAGATTTGAAAAACTTGTCAATATAAGCAGCCAGATTCTGTTCAGGAAGCTTATGCCAAGGGGCGGAGAGGGGATGTGGTGAGAAAGGGAAAGCTGTCACCAGGAAAAAACAAACTCAAAGCATTGAATACTGTAGATGGTAAAATTCCCACAGACTGACATTTTTCAGGTTGCTTGTGGCTTTAGCAGCTGCTGCCAATTGTCTGCGCTGTTATGTAGGCTGCACAAAAGTTAAGGTTATTTTACAGCGCATAGATGTCAGAGGAAGGTAGTTTTCCACAAAGGATGATGCTTTTTCTTGTTAGTTCTTGTTGACTTAATTGTCATGCTACTAGTTGGTTTTGGATGGAAAAGTTTTGCTGGTGTTTGTTTGTTTCTTATTTTGAGTAGTGTAGTAGAAGAGAATGGGAGACAGAAGCTATGACAGGAATGAGTCTGAGCCAAAGTGCAGCAGAGGAAAGCTCAGTGGTCAAGCACTCTTTGGAAAGAAACTTCACAGTATGAAAAAAAGAAAAAAAAAAAAATGGTTTCCCCTCTGGGAGTTTTGCAGTATTGCTAAGACTGATGTCATGATTTGGAGCTACTGGTTTTGTGTTTAACCTTTTTTGCCATTGTAAAAGCAGATAGTTTGTAGAGTTACACCACCATATTTTCATGGGAGTGTCATATATTCTGTTAGGCAGTGAAAAAAAATCGCAGCCATCAACACAGAGAAGGAAGAAAAACTTGAGTGTAGACAGACCAAGCACCTTTTTCTTGGTGACTGTAATACAGCTTCTTTCTGATGGCTGAGGTTTTAAAAGGAAGTAGCTCTCCACAAATGCTCAGTTTCTCTGTACATTGGCAGCAGCTCAGGGAATTCCTAGACAACTGCCAGCTGGCTGGGTGTTTGTGCACAGCGCAGGTGTATTGGAGGGCTGCACGCCTCAGGATGCTGTCCTGGCTGTAAAGAATTTTCGGCTAAATGTCATGGGAAGCTCAATGTACATTTTGGCTTTTTTAAGCCTGAGTGAACTTGTCTTTATTTGCAATAATGCCAGTTATTTTCTTATTTGTTGCTAAATCTAACTTAAAGAATGCCGATGTCCTTACTACCAGGTAATACATTCTCAGAAGTAGGAATTAATTGCATGATATGCAGAGAAAACTTTGCTTTAGAAGTTTAAATATAAACAGGGATAACTTGAGCTGATGGTATCTTCATTGTTTATAGGTAGGGTTCTTTCACAGTCTGCTCCAGGAACACCACCAAAGACAATAACGATCTCTGAGAGCGGAGTCATTGGATCATCTTTGAGTACAACAACACAACAGACACCAAATAAAATAGCTATCTCACCACTCAAATCCCCTAATAAGGTAAGGACCCAACTCTGGCTGCAGCCTTCTATCCCTCCTGCACAGTGGTCTGAACGGAGTTTTCTGCGTCTTTGCTACAAGCTGTTTATGATCCTGCCACTCCAGAGTTTCCACTGTGCACCACAATGTTCTGCGGTAATGGCCTAAGCTACACTTTTTGCAGTTGGCTCCCTTACTGTGGTTTTAAGTAAATGTGCATTACTGCATTGGTTTCCCATTCCTGCCATTTCTTGCCATTCCCTAAGCATCCATTCCGAGAGCAGCTGTTCTGTCTTAGCCAAGTGCTCAAACAGTATTTTTTTTTTTAATGCCTTCATAAAATGTCAACAGGCTGTTTAAGAGAAGACCTCAATGATGTTAATAGGTCAGCACTTATTAACCATTGCATGCTACTGCATAGATAATTTAGTCTTCCCTAATCACGTGTGAAGTAAATGAGATTTGCAGTGGTCCTTGACAAATACAGAGCTGGAGATTGGCATGGGTGAGCAATAGATAGAAAACGCAACTCATCCATTGTAAGCTGTGTTACAGGTGAGTGTCATGATGACGTTTGTATTTTAGTCTTGATAAAATTGTCTTGAGAAGAGGAATATTGCTGGAGAAAGGGAGAGGGGGGAGGCAAGATGCATAGTGCATGCAAACTAAGTATCATGTATAAAAATTAGTGTAAGAGTAAAGAATTCTCTTAGTTTGGCTGTGTTTTAGCTATGTAATGTTATAGAAATAGAGTGAAGGACTTGCATTTGAGAATTATTAGTGAGGAAGAAGAAAAAATATAAATCTAGAATCAAAATTAACAATGAGGGGAGGTGAAAAGACTCCTTCGGGTTGCATCTTGAATATAGTGTAGATAAGTAATCGTAAGTATGTTTTAAAAGCAAATGGTTTAAAAAATTTGGAGTTTTCTTAAAACATAACGAAGGAGGTTTAGAACAAAAAGTAGAAAACCAACCCTGGAAGGCATGTGGCTATAGAGAATAGAATATGCAAACACCACACTGCAGAAAAATGGTCAGCATATTTGATCTCTACGGGAGTCTGGAATGTAGATTTGAAAATACTGATATTCTTATACTTTGGCTGAACCAGTAGTGTAAGGTGAGAATTTTTTTTCCTTTCCACAGCTCTCCTTTAAAATTTGTATTTATGATGAAATAGTCATAGTACTGTTGATAAAGCTGTTACTCGGAAAAGCTCAGGATTCAGTGGGCTAGTTTCCTTAAAGCAAATAAAGTAAGTCAAACCAAAAAACAGAAGCAGGGCTAGCTTTCTGCAGAGGTCTTTTGGTGCTGGAAACCAGCAATGACTTGAAGTTTTTAGCATGTCTCTGTGCTATTGTTGCACAGTTGGACCCGTGTGAGTTGTGACTAAATACAGCACCCTTGTTCAGAGAAAGAACTCTTTGTACTGGTGGAGAACTGTACTTTCATGAGGAGGGGTTGTACAGGGTCTTGTATCCTGTGCAGAGATTTAAATTGCTTCTTTGTTTTGCCAAGCAGCTAACAGTGGTGTCAGTGGCCTCCCAGCCTCCCAACTCCCCCCAGAAGACGGTGGGCGTCCCACTGAATGTAGCGTTAGGACAGCAGATCCTCACAGTGCAGCAGTCGGCGCCCTCCTCTCCTGGGAAGGCTATAGTCAACCACACAACTGCCCAGGTACAGACTGTCTTTCCTTTGTCTCTGTCTCATCACTTGTAGGAAACTGGAGTGTTGAACTGCAAATTGGCAATGATCAGTCCTAAGGTGTTCTTGTAATGGTGTTAGCTTAAGAACTGGCAAGAGCTTCGCCCTGAGGAGCATGTACTTCTTCAGTCAAGGGGTGCAAACCACTGCAAGCCTGTACAAGGGCATGCTGTTAGAAAGCAGCTTTCCAACCTGGAAAGCCCCACTTGGTGCAAGTTCTCATCTCTGTATACTGAATCTCCCAAATCATCTGAAAGGCTCCCTGTGGCATGAAGAAGAGTTCTTTGAGTGGTTCTATCTCTTCTACCAGTGTTTCTATGCTACTAATGAGGACTGCTTTACAGGTGTTTCTGAGTTTTGCAACAATGCAGTTCATATTCTTGTGGTAGTGGTCTGCATAAGCAAGACACAATGGTCTGAGACCTACAGAACACAGAAGAGATTAATTTCCTGTGTCTGATTTGTAGAAAAATATCAGGGTTTTCGATAATTACTTTATTAAATTGATTTGCATTAATGAATGACAAGACAAAACTGAACTCTTTTACAAACTACAGTTCTTACTTTTTTCCTCTTTTGTATTTGTAGGTATGTTTTTCTATCCTAATGTCTGCATTACTGTTTTGGTAAACATGAAGGGATGCGTGTGAATGTAAATAACTAGAGTGGATATACCAGGGGTAGACACAGTTGCATGTACAGCATGAGACCAGAGACTCAAACACATGTTGCCAGTCTCGTCTTACCGATACAGGTGATAATTGGAATACTGATACAGGGATGTGGACACCAGCATGGTTGTTCCACTTCCCCCCCCCCTCCCCCCCCAAGTATAGGCGGCACAATTGTCTTTTTGCATTAAAAGGTTAAGTCACTCTAATGCAAACACCCTAGGTGACAAAACGGAGATGGCTGTGTGGTATACACACTGAGTTCTGATCCAAAGCTATCTGAAACAACACAGAGGTTTCAACTGTCTTCACTGGGCTCAAGAACATGCCCTTAGAAGAACTGTCACTTGAATTTTACAGTTTTCCCAGTTGTCCTTGGATGGCAACCACTGAGTTGTGTGCCAGAGGAAACTTTGCCCACGCTGGTCACTCTGTGATAACTCAGGCTGTGACTGTGCTTGCAGATGGTGCTTATTTTGGAATGCTCTGGGTTGTTGAGGTTTCAGTATTTGGGGGGGGG